AATAATTTCAAAGCAAGTAAGTATACCAAATTCTTCTTCCTTGATAAGTACTTTAGAAACATATATTTGTAATTGACTCTTCATTTTCTTTTTGTTGTTACATAATTTCTCCAACATTTTAATTTGAGCAATTTTAAATCTACAGATAAAAGTACAAGTGCAATAAATAGCAAGTGATACATATTATTCTTTTATTATCTACTTCTATTATTTCTATTTTCTATTATCTTTCTATATTATGAGGTCTTTGAGGCTGAGAAGGTATCTAATTTCTTTTTCTATCTCCAGAACCTCTAGGTACCTGGTAGAAAGGTAGTATTTAGGAATTACTAAATGGTGTCCCTTCCTGATTATAATCTGCCCTCATTCCTCTAATCCATCCTTAATCTGCACAAATAGCAAATTTCTAAAATACAAACCTGATTACTTCTCTTTTTAGATCAATTAATAATAGCAGCCATTATCTATTACTATCATCTAAGTACTGTGATAAACATATTACATGCATTACTTCACTTAATTCTATAACAAGCTTATGAGTTAGGTACTATTATCAATACCCATTTTATAGGCAAGGAAACTGAGGCATAGAGGATTACATAATTCATCCAAGGTCACACAGCAAATAACAAACCTAAGTTTTGGACCCTGACAATCTGACTCCAAAGTCCATGCACTTAAACATGGATTGATCATGCTTTCTCATTCTTCTTTGGTTTTGAACATATTCCTCTCTTAGCCTGGAATCCCCGTAAACTACTATTTATCTCTGAAGTCACAGCTTCAGTGATAGATCTCTATAGAGCTTTACTCCAGGTGCACTTAAGCATGCTTTCTTTGCTTCCATTGTTCTTTGTACATAATGAAAACTTGCATTTAATCAAATTATCCCTTCAATACTCTGGCCTCATCTCTTCCTCTCTAATGATCTTTCTTGACCCTGCTTGGGTTACTTAATTCCATGGCATATCCCCTTCATTCAAAAAACAAATATTAAATTAGTATCTACTATCTGCCAGGCATTGTTCTAGGCTCTGGGGATGCAGCTCCTGGCTGTCATGGGGCTTGCGTTCTAAGCTTGTATGAGAGAGACAAAAATAAATAAATACATTTGAAACACATACATGCACATGTACACACATTGTCAGGGGTTGATACAGGCTTGGAAGAAAATTAAATCAGGACAACAACATAAAGAAGGATGGGCTATAATTTCAGATAGAGCTGTCAAATAAAGACCTCTGTGCTAAGCTAACATCTGTGGGGTAAGGAAGTAAGTCATATGGATGAGCTGGGGTACTGGTATCCCAGGGTGTGGGAACAGTAAGTGCAAAAGTCGAAAAGTGGAAACGAGCTTGTTGTGTTTGCAGTATAAAGCAAATCGTAGTGTGACTGGAGAGAGTGAAAGAGGGGCAGGTGGAAGAACATGCCTCTATTCCAACATGGCTTTTCTTGCCTTTTTAAAAAAATAGCAGCTAACACCTTTTACCATATAAGTACATTATATAATACACAAGTTTCTTGTTATATTTATAGTTTCTTGTTTCATATCACATTGTAGCACTGTTGTACTTTAATTTATTTTTTATTTACTTATTTTTATTTTTTTACTTTTGAGTTGGAGTCTCACTCTGTTGCCCAGACTGGAGTACAGTGGCATGCTCCTGGCCACCGCAGCCTCAAACTGTTGGGCTCCGACGATCCTTCTGCTTCAGCCTTCCAAGTAGTCGGAACTACAGGCGCGCACTACTACACCTGGCTAATTTTTGATTTTTTATTGTAGAGACAAAGGCTCAACAAGTTGCCCAGGTGGGTCTCGAACCCATGAGATCAGGCAAGCCACTCACCTCGGTCTCCCCAAGTGCTGGGATTACAGTCTGAGCCACAGAGCCTGACCCACTGTTGTATTTTTAAAAAATTCTTTCTCAATGGTCTCAATAGTGCAACAGAAATCAAACCTACTCTTTACTCCTTTTACTTGCTTTCTCCAACCCTAGGCAGCCTTACAAAGAATCTTTCTAAAATGAGAATCTGATCTGGTCATACTATAACTTAAAAAATTTTAATGGCTTCTCACTGACTATAATTGTAAGCATAGTATAGAGGGTTCTCACGACCAACTCCCCACCAGTAATCCAAACCTATCTCCTTCAGCTAGAGCCAGCCATACCAAATATTTATAGTATACCAACCAGTGCGTTTACAACTTTTCTATGAAACTATTCCTAATTGCAAAGGGAGGATGACTTATTCATGGTGAACAGAGACAGAATAGACATACTGAAAACACAAGTTTCTTAGAAATTTCCTACTTCATCCTAAAAATTCATGGGGTCATTGTACTCTACTCTGTAACATATCTACATTTTAAATTAATCTTAAAAAGTTTAATCTGGGCCAAGTGCAGTGGATCAAGCCTGTAATCCCAGCACTGATGTCAGAGGACTGCCTGAGACCATGGGTTCAAGACCAGCCTGGGCAACTTGGCGAGACCTCAGCTCTACAATAAAATAAAAAAATCAGCCTGGGTGTGGTAACACGCGCCTGTAGTTCTGTCTACTTGGAAGGCTGAGGTGGAAGGATTGCTAGGGCCCAGCAGGTCGATGCCGGGGTGGCCATGAATGTGCCACTGCACTCCAGCCTGGGCAACAGAGTGAGACTCCAACTCAAAAAAAAAAAGTTTAATTCCTGTAGTATGCCTGAATAAAATACATGTTCCACTATGACAGCCCATGTTCATATTCAGCCAGTGGCTTGTAAATACCTCAGTGTGCACCACAAATGCCTGGGTGAACTTGTACTCCTGCTTCACAGGCAAGACTTACCATTTCACACCTCTGTACTCAACACTTGCTTTTCTCTGAAGGGAATACCCTTCCTCACCTTGTCTACCTGGTGACATCTTGTTCATCTTCAAGACTCTCCTGAAGCCCCTCTAAGTCACCCAAGCAAACAGATAGTGCCCTTGTTGATATTAGCATTGCTTTCACATACTTATTACAGGACTTACGTACTGCCATTATTTTTTACAAGTTTATATTCCTGATTAGTCAGTGATTTCCTGGAGATCAGCACCCATATCATATCTTCCCAGGTCCATTAACATTTACCGAGTGTTAACTATGTGACAAATATTTTTATATGCATTGTTCCCATTCAATCCTCAGACATCCTTAGGAGATTATATCAATTTTAGACATAGTGTATAATAATAAGCTCTTTGAGGGCAGGACTTGTTATTTTATTCACTAGTGTATCTCCCATGCCTAGTACAGTGCCTGGCACATTGAAGACACTTAAAAGTTTTTGTTGAATAATGAGGAAACCAATGCTCAGAGAGGTTAAGTAACTTGTCCAGGGTACACAGCTAGTAAGTGGAGACCTGAAAGTCTTGGTTCTACTGCTTTTCCATCTCCAACTTCCATCTCAGAATTGGTACTGAGAAGGCACTCAGTATATACCTGCGAATAGATGAATATCTTTTACCTTTAGATTATTCATCTGCTCTACCCCTATTTTTTCATTTGTATACCCCAATTTTTAACCTTTAGGACTAAGACATAAAATACAGTGGGCAAGAACAGACCTAGCTTCCATCCTGCTTCCCTCCTTATCAGTAAATACTAGTGCTATACATAGAGAATAAAAAATATTACTAAAAAACACATGGATATTGCAGAGTTACATTAATAGTTGTTTATTGCATAAACATACTATCAAATGGACAAACTGAAAAATTGATGGCCATAAACTTGTAAAAATTAACCCCAAATTTCCAAATTTGGGGTTTTTTTGTGGTTATGATTTTTCTTTCTTAGTAAAAACAAGTAAGAAGCTTATAGTAATTGATTTCATTTTTATGCTGTTAGTAAATCTTTCTAAATAAAAGGATAATTATGTAATGGCATCAAGTTACAATAAAGAAGAAAATGAGGATGTCCTTTCCTATGGTCTCTACTTTCAACTGGCCTGGAGAAAAGCAAGACTCAGTAATGTGGTTATGGAATGTATTTCGGCCAGGTATGGTGGCTCAGGCGGAAGGGTCTCCTAAGCCCAGGAGGTTGAGGCTGTGGTGGACCGTGATCGTGCCACTGCACTTCAGCCTGGATGACAGTGAGATTCTTACGTTTTTTTCAACAAGCAGATTTCAGTTAGATGATTATTGTATAGCTTGAATTAAAAAGTTATGAGAACATTTACTTTTTATATGAGCACAAAATATTTTAAAACTCCAAGGCCTCTGACGCTTCTGAAAAGTGTGCTTATTTATTTATTTTTGTTTGGTAGTTTGTTAACAGAATGGAAAAAGGCAGTCAGATAAATCTACTTTACAATCCTGGCTCTCTCTCTTAATAACTGTGTCACCTGAAGGTAGATTACTTAATATCTCTGAGCTCATTTCCCTTATAATGTGGATAATAATCCCTAATTAGTAGGACTATAGGTGAGATTAGAAGTCCCTGTAGTAATGAGCATAGTACCAGGCATATGATAGCACTACTGTTTACTTAAGTAAATAGTAGCTCTCTTTACTTAAGGTCTGCTGCTTTATTTACTCTGATTTCATAATGGGAGTCACTTAAATCACCATTTCCTATAATAATGTTTCCTGTGTTTGCTTCTTTCAATGTAAATATCCTCCCTCATCAAAAAAACTCATAAAATATATTAGAGGGGGAATATTGAAGGAATTTTCAGTCTGTCTTTCCTAATTGTCATGAAAAGACTTTATGTGTGTAATACTTCCTTATTCTCTCTGTTAGAGCAATGTTGCACCAGCATTCCTGAATATCCACAGCCAGCTGGGCCTGGGTATTGGTCTCGTTACCTACCACAGCTCCCATAGGCACTTGAGTTTGCAACCTCTGTTTCAAACACTGAACTTCCGTAGGACATCTACAATTTCATTTTCAAAAGTTGTATCTGCATATAATTTCTTAGAAAACACAAAGCAAGCTTGCACTGTTAATCAAATGTGTAAGAATTTTTTAAAAAATTACCTGATGGAATACAGGCTCTTTTACCCTAAGGTAAACCTGCAAAATATTAGAAGAAACATATGTGAATAAAGTACATCATACAAAAAGGAAAAACCTATCCCAACTACTCTGCAAATCTCAAACCTCTCCTGCTTTCCCCCTCCTACTTAGACTTGACTCCACCCACATAATACCAAGCACATGAGCAGGTATGCCACTAGAGGGCTAGTGCCTGCAGCTGAATCCACCCCTGTGCCAACCCTGCCAAGGTATAAAAAAATGTTTCAAATCTATGCCAGACTACTCAGGCCTTCTGGCCTCTGCCAACAGCTTCAAAGAGGGATACGGATGCATGAATATTCATGAGAAGAGAAGAGGTTACACTGAGAATCCCTAGAGCAGATCTGTTCTATAGTCAGGGAACACTGGACTTAGAGACAGGAGTTAAATTTCAAACTCTGGCACTTACTTGCTACATGTCTTGAGCAAGTCATTTAAGCAAAAGACTCATTTTTTCTTATCTGGATAATGAAGAATAATAGTGGTGAGGAATGATAAACTAAAATACCTGAAAGTGTCTAGCACATAGTAGGTGCTCAATAAGTGAAGACATTTGAAACAAATTTCTTGTGCTTGCTTCTGTTTCCAGAAATTTCTAACTCACTCCTCTAAATGCACTCCCAGTTATACAAACCCTAGTTTTAGGCTCCAATGTCATGAGGTGATTAAATTCAATGCCTGTTTAGGAGTTAACATGCATGTAACTGCCCTGCAGGAGCATAATTTTTAAATGATATGGTACAGGAGAATAAAAATTCAAACCACAATCCTGCAACGACTCTCATCACTTAACAAGACAAAGTTCATTTCTTAGCCTGACATTCAAATCCCTCCTGTTTTTCTGTTTGGTCTCACTGCTGTTTTCTTGTCTTCTTATCATCCAAGGCACCAGAAAGTAGTCCTTCCTCAAATGTACTAGCTTCACGTTTCTGTATCTTTAAACACATTACTCTTTACTTTGCTCAGAAACTCTCTCCCACTCACTACTCATCTTTTAAGATTCAACTCAAACTGTACCTCCTTCTTGAAGCGTCTATACAGTAGAGGCAATCATTCACTCCTCTTTCTTTTTTTTTTGAGTTGGAGTCTCACTCTGTCGCCCAGACTGGAGGGCAGTGGCCGCTCCCGGCCACCGCAGCCTCGACCTGCTGGGCTCCGGCGATCCTTCCGCCTCAGCCTTCCAAGTAGCCAGAATTACAGGCATGCGCTACCACGCCCGGCTGATTTTTTGATTTATTGTAGAGATGAGGTCTCGCTGCCCAGGCGGGTCTCGAACCCGCGGGCTCAGGCAATCCACTCACTTCAGCCTCCCAAAGGCGCAGGATTACAGGCTGAGCCACTGAGCCTGGCTCACTCCTCTTTCTACAAACATCACTGGCATTTATTGGGTTGTTTCGTCCTCTATAAGACTAATATCTTTGATAACAAATATTGGGTTACATATTTCTATATCCTCACTTAAATGTAGTAATCTTATAAAATGTTATGAAACTTTACAATTTGGCTACAAGCTTTCTTATTTCTGGAGGAAGCTTATGCCTTATCAAAAGACCAGATTATTTCCTTTATGCACCTGTAGAGCTTTAAAAGCATGATGTGTATGAAATATCATATATCTATAACTCTAAACCCCTCCAATTATTATTATTTTTTTTGAGTTGGAGTCTTACTCTGTCGCCAAGGATAGGGTGCAGTGGCACAATCACGGTTACTGCAGCCTCTACCTGCTTGGTGCAGATGATCCTTCCACCTCAGCCTTCTAAATAGCTGGAACTATAGGTGCATGCTACCACACCTAGCTAATTTTTTTTATTGTAGAGATGAGGTCTTGCCATGTTGTATAGGCTAGTCTTGAATGCCTGGACTCAGGCAATCCTCTTGCCTGGGCCTCCCAAAGTGGTAGGATTACAGGTGTGAGCCACTGTGTCCAGCCAAGAATGCTTTTAATCTCTGAATTTCCTTACTTGAAAATACTAATTTCCATTTATATAGTTGAACACTATCAGATTCCCATGTTACCAATAAAAGAAATGCAAAAGGGTATGCCTCTTAAAGACAATTTTTAAAAAGCAAACTATTATGGAGTCTGTACTGTGTGCCAGGTGCTAATTTTCACAACTAATACAAAACGTATACTATTCTTATCTTCGTTCTACAGATAAGGAAAACTAAGGCTGAGAGATTAAGCAATTTGCCCAAGGTTCCAAAGTTACTAAGTAACAATGTTCATCCTAATGCAAATTGACCGTCTCCAAAGTATGTTTCTGACTATATCATCTCTTAACCTACAAAAGGGACTATATATTCTTCACCCTGCCGCCAATTCTCTGTATAAACTTGGTTGGCCAGGGAAGTCACAGGCACTCCCTGCACTTTATTCTCTTCTGTTATACTGTAACCAGACTTCGTTTCACCTCTGAAGTACTAGGAGTCTTTCACGATTAAACAATGTGCAGTTCAGGCAAGGGAACGTGAACACAAGTAAACAGCGCGTACGTGCTCTTTCAAGCTCCTATTTAACATCTCACCCAACTGAAACCTGGCTTCTGCCTCCATCGATCTTCTGCTGGCAGCACCCTCATGAAGGCCGCCTGGTCTTCTAACTGAAATTTTCTACCAGTCAGCTCTCAATCTTCACTTTACTCATCCTCTCAGAGGCAACTGTTATTCATTTTTCACTCCTAGAAATCTTTGTATTTTGGGTTTCAGGCTTTCAGAGCTTTCCTACATCTCTGATGACTTGTACTCAGTCTCCTTTGCTGGCTCCATTTCTTCTACCTAGTCCTCAAATGCCAACATTCCATCGGGTTGTACCTTGGGTCATCTTAATGGTCTGTGCAATTTCTGTGCCAGTTTTTCTGTTCCCACATTTCTAGCACCACCTATACCTTGACAATTGCCAAATCCACATCTTTGTCCCAGCCTACCTGTTAGGCCTCAGACGTCATTAATGTCAGGCACCTCAACCTCCACACATTTCAAATTGAACTTATTCACCCCTACCCCATGGTGAAAACCTGCTCATTGTCTGTCGTGCAAAAGCTGTTCATCTTCCAAGTTTTCTGTCTTGATTAAGGATGTACTACCTATACTGACAGCCAGGCCATAAACTGAGGAGTCATTGTAGAAAAAGCCTTTTAACTCCATTTCTACTCTCTCTACTCAGTGGATCACAAGTCTTACAATTTGTTACTTACGGCAATTTATTTTCTTCCCCATCATTATACGATTTTTGTCTGAGCCTCATAGCATGCTAAAGCAAATGCAAAAGTCCCTGGGTCTAGCATACTCCTCTAATCCGGCCTCCATAACCAGAATCATCTTTCTAAAATGATTATGTCTTTCCTCTACTTTAAATCAGTTAATGGCTCTACACTACCTTGAGGATAAAAACGCAAACTCCTGAACATGGCACACAAGAGTCTTTATATAATCTCACGTTTGTTTCATTCACTAGTCTCATTCATTCACTGCTCCTCACTTACCATCTGCTCCAGTCATATCAAATCTCTCTCAGTTCTACGGGTGGTGAGGATTTAGACACAATAAAGGTAAAGTATTCAGTTCAATATCTGCTACATAGTAAGTAATAAAAATAGTAGTTCATTATGCTGTTCCGAGGTTCTCTGCTTATGAACATGCAATAGTCTGTTTAGAAATTCTTCACCACACTCTTGTCCAGAGGCCTAATGAACTCCTAGTCATCAGTTAAATTCAAGGTTAAGAGCCTCCTCTGTGAAGCTTTCCTTGATCCAATCATGTAGTCTTGACTGACCCTCCTTTATCTCATCACCACACAACTAGTTTTCACCTTTTATTGCACTACTCTTCGTTTGATGCAATTCCTTGTTTACATATCTGACTTTCCTAATACAATCAGTACCTCACAGATGACAACTGCTTCTTAGTCATCTTTGTATTTCTTTTTTTTTTTTGAGTTGGAGTCTCACTCTGTCGCCCAGACTGGAGTGCAGTGGCCGCTCCCGGCCACCACAGCCTCGACCTGCTGGGCTCCGGCGATCCTTCTGCCTCAGTCTTCCAAGTAGCTGGAACTACAGGCACGCGCTACCACACCCGGCTGATTTTTTATTTATTGTAGAGATGAGGTCTCGCCAAGTTGCCCAGGCAGGTCACAAATGGTGGGTTTTCAATAAATGTTTTTTAAAATGAATATTTTCTCAATACAAAATGTAACTCATTTAAGGGAAAAAAATGAGTAGGATAGGATCAGAAGTGATTAGCTATCTAACTTATAAGGAGAAAGTTAACCATTACAACAGTCACACTGGACCCAATTCTTGTTTCCAACAAATAGGAATTAATATATAATATATCCTATCCCTTGTTTTTTTTTAAACAAGAGATAATAGATCCATCCACAAGAAAAGTTAATTTTTTCCCATTGCAACTAAATATTTGCTTTTTTACTTTTTCCCCTTTAAAAAAATACCAACAGATTTGTGAAGTTATTTCAATTACAGTGGGAAATAACACTTGAACAGGAAATAAACAAGCAATATCTGTCAGTGAGGTATTCTAATTTCATATAGAAGCATTTTAGTTTGACAGCATGAAGCAAATACCAGAAGTAAAATATGCCAAACTCTGTAACAGTGAACTTACATGCTTAATCTGTATATAATTAAAATGTGACTTACTGTGGTTACTATTAAACTGAATAGAACTAAAGTAAAAAGCAGATGGTAGTTTACTGAGTTCTTGGGCTTGAAACATTCAAACCTTAAAAAAAGAAAAAGAAACATTTTTTAGAATACATAAATAGAAACATAAATAGAATGCCACTTTAACACTTGCCTACATGCCTCTGTGATCTAGTGATAGCCACCATTTCTTTCCACTAGTATTATTTTTTAATTTTTTAATAATATATAGAGACGAGGTCCTGCTGTGTTGTCTAGGCTGGTTCCAAACTCCTGGTCTCAAGCAATTCTCCTACCTCAGCTTCCCAGAGTGCTGGGATTACAGGCATGAGCCACCGTGCCTGGCCTTTCTTCTTATATTCTTATCTTAGAAAATCTGTACTGTCTACATCCTCCAAGGAGCTGGAAGGACTAAGAGTAAACACCTGACTTAAGCTAGGACAATGAAGGGCTCTCTCCTGGAAGTCTACAGTTTGGGAGCCAGAGATTGAATCAATTAAGTATAGAGAGTTGAAGTACAAAGTCATAGATATGGGCTCAAGGTCTGAGGCTGATGTTTGGAGACAGTAATATTGAATGAATAAGAAGATGAGTGGGCAGAGAAGTAACCTACAGGGAGAGAAAAATAAATCAGAAACAAAGACATGAAGCCATGAGGAGAGGAAGGATGGAAGAATGAAAAAGTTACCCTTTCAGTTTCAGTGAAGTGAGGTTGTACTTCATGCTATTAGGTTTCATATAATTTCCTCATATCTCTACAATAAGTAAATCAATCTAGCTCGAGAAGGTTTCCACATCTTGCAACTAAGAAACACTATTATAGAAAATGTCACCCTATTATAATGATCTCTTTCCTTATCTGTCTCCCAACCAGCCTGTGAATTCCTTGTGTGCAGGAATGAAATCTCCCCCCCATATAGCTAGCACAGGAAGTATCCAGTAAACAAGGAGGTATGAACATATAATTGGCTATCAGTAAGTATCCAACCTTTAGGGACTGTATCTTGGTATAGATAGTAGGAATGTTCTCTCAGTTTACTAATTGGCTGTGGAAATTGGACCCAACTCTTATCTGTAAGGAAATGTGCTTGGAACAGATGATTTCTAAGATCTCTTTTACCTTCAAATTCTGTGATTTTATGACTTGGAAGATGACTAAAATATTGGGTGGGATATATGTGCTTAACTTTAAATTCTATAAATTTATGGCTTGAAAGATGATAGAAAAGCTAAGTGAGATATTTGTGAATTATAATTACTCTTTTTTTTTTTGAATTGGAGTGTCACTCTGTCACCCAGACTGGAGTGCAGTGGCCACCCCCGGCCACCGCAGCCTCGACCCGCTGGGC